CGGAGGAGTAGCCGTGGCCGTTTGCCTGCCTACCATTCTTCAGCCCTCCGGAGAGCCTTGCAGATGGCTGTGGTTCTTTGTTTAAAACGTTCCCCCATCGGGTTTAATTGAGCTGTAGTTCCAGAGAGGGACCTGCCGGGGCAGGGTTATTTTTGGGCAGGAACGCACAGGAACGGAGTTCCGGCTGGCTTCAGAGTTGGCCATGCCCACTACAGCCAAAACCTCTGCGTACGTAGCTACAGAGGGGAGGCCTGGAGAGTGATCCCCCACGACTCTGAGGCGGGCGGGTCAGGCAGGGGGGGGCTAGAAGGATCGGGGAGGCATTTAAATGCCTCCCCTTGTCTTTCCAGGCCTGTCCAAGGGCTGGCTTGCCTGGACTCTCTGCAGCTGTGGGGTGCCCAGGCAAGCCAAGGGAAGGCAGTTTAAACTGCCTTTCCTTCCCTTCAAGGGGGGAGGGGGGCTTGCCTGGGCTCCCCACAACTGTGGGGCACCTGGGCAAGCCAAGGGAATACATGGGATGTGGCCTAGTATGCTAATATGTTTCTGCTGTTGGGTGTGGCCTATTATGCTAATGAGTTCCTGCTGGGCTTTTTCTACAAAAAAGGTCTTGTGCAGGAGTATCACTCACTGGGTTGAATGGGGCTTCCTCATCTGCTGGCCTACAGTTCCCAGCTGCCCCAAGGCCAAAAAGTGTGGGAAAACAGGGACTGTCCCAAGGCAGTCTTCGTCCCTGGGAGCAGCAAAAACTCAGCCACTCCACAGTCGGCTGGACTGGGGAATGAACGGAAGTTTCCCTGCTCTCTTGGGCAAGAGAGAGAGGCTGAAGTACAGGTGAGCTCACAACCTCCAGAGGTAGAGTATTTGATTGGTTAATGCATTTGGTTAATGCATTTAACCCTGTTGGTTCATGGTGTCTGCTTACTCCTACAGTGTGTGTGTGCTCCATAACTGTGTAAATAGTTAAATACATTCTTTTATTTGGGCTAATAATCTGTATTGTGCTCTGACCACATAGTCTCCCCCATTCTGCATAATACCAAATGGAGGGGATAGCCCAGGGAAGCAAGAAAAGGCAAGACCCTAGGGTTGCCAACTTTCCAGCATTCCATCTCCAAATAGGGAGATTCGGCCAGAAGGGTCTCACTGTCCCTCTAAAAAGGCAATGATGATTCCGTGAGTGGTGGCAGCGAACTTAAGGAGTGAGATACGCCCATGGGATGAGGGTGGGAGGCAAACAGCTGAGTTGTAAACTGGAGCCCATTGTGCCATGGTAGGCAACAAAGATTGGTTCAGACAAAGCAAGGATACCCTTTGCAGGCCTTTGTGAGGAGCTCATTGAGGCCAGTCCTGACTACGGTTGCCAGCTTCAGGTAAGGAGATTCCTGGAGATTTTCTGGTAGAGTCCATGGAAGCCAAGCTTTGGGGAGGGGAGAGGCCTCAGCTGAACAGAATGCCATAAAGCCCACCTTCCAAAGCAGTTATTTTCTCGGGGGGGGGGTGAGATCTGTTGTCTGGAGTTCAGTTGTGATACCTGGTGATCCTCAGACTCCACCTGGAGGTTGGCTGCCCTAGGCGTAGCGGTCAGTGCTTCAGAGCAGGGTCTGCTAGATCCAGGTTCTTACTGTAGAAGCTGAGTGGGTGATTTTGGACCAGTCACAGACTTTCAGCCTTACCTACCTCACAGCGTTGTTGTGCAAGTCAAAAGGGGGAGAGGAGAATGATGTAAGCTGCTTTGGTCCCCATTGCAGAGAAAGACTACTTTTCCTCCTGGGAAACCATTGTTGCCAATCTCCAGGTGAGGGCTGGAGATCACTCAGAATTACAACTACTCTCCAGATGGCAGAGATCAACTCCCCTGGAGAAAATGGTGGACTCTGTGGCAGTCAGGGCTTCAGAGCACAGAAGAGACTGCAGGTGTGTGTGGGGGGGGAATGGAAAGCTGAAGAGTGAGGGGGAAATAAAGGTAGGTTGACGATTGGCTGGGAAGGAGATAGGGTTGCCAACTCCAGGTGGGAAATCTCTGGAGATTTGATGGATGGAACCTGAAGAGGGTGAGGTTTGAGGAGGGGTGGGACCTCAGACAGGTACAATGCCATAGACTCCACTCTCCCAACCAGCCATTCCCTCCTGGGGAACCACTGTTGCCATTCTCAGAAGAGGGGTGGAAATCACTCAAAATTATAACTGATCCCCAGGAGGGAGGGGGGAGGAGATGGGAAGCTGACATCAGAGGGGCAGTTAATGGCAGGTTGATGCTTGGCTAGGAAGGAGATAGGGTTGCCAACTCCAGGTTGGGAAATTCATGGAGATTTGAGGGGTGGACCTCAGACAGGTACAATGCCATAGACTCCACCCTCCAAACCAGCCATTCCCTCCTGGGTAACAATTGTGGCCAATCTCCAGGTGAGGGGTGGAGATCACTCAAAATTACAACTGTTCTTCAGGTAGCAGAGATCAGTTCCTCTGGAGAAAATGGTGGACTCTGTGTCATTATACCCTGCTGAGGTTGCCATAGCACATTGACGCTGAGTGCCCAAGGCCTTGACACTCTCCCAGAGCCTCTTTCTAGAGCTCATTGTATTTATTTCCATAACAGGCCTTATTCCTAGTGTTACATATTGCTAATCAAGTAGCAATACACGTAAATCTTGTACATGGAAGCCTTCAATTATGTTCTGGTAAATCTTCATAAATCTTCACTTATCTCCAGGTCCTTATTTAGAAGTAGTCTTGCAGGAAGGCAGAGGTAAGCGCAGTCATCACCTCGTGATACAGTTACTGGGACAGTGCATGACAGGAACTGTTAGAAGGTCTTGTTGTAGAAAGAAAGCCAATGGTACCCAGAAGTTGCTGCCACATTTCTCTCCTTTAGCTTGTGATTCCTGAGATCAAGAACGTTAATGGTCTAAAAACCACTGTTCTAAGATCAGTGTGGCCTTTCCTACATATCGCTACAAGTGTTTTTATACAGCTGTTTTTCACGTTCTGTTTTTTCAAATATTTGTCTACATTCTATAATACAAAGCAAAAGCAGTAAATTTGCACTAACATACAGCAGGGACAATTTTGGAACAGATAGGTAGCACCTAATAGCACGAACTGTACTTTACTGCTACTAAATAAAACAGCAATTCATTTTAAAAAATGGAAAACAAGTAGCACTGCTTCAAGAAACCCTTTCAATAATTTAAAAATAGCAAATTAAAAATGTGTTAAGCTTTGCTTCCAGGCAATTATTTGCATAAGTGCACACATATGAACAGCCATAACTATTCAGAAGATTAAGAAATTGTTAAGGGAAAAGGAGGAATAATGTCTTCCACCACATTTTATCACCACATTTTATCACATGCCTCCCTTTGCCATCAATATTTACTATAAATTGCAAATAAATCAATGCTCAGCCCAGTAATGTGAACCTTCTAGAAATACATTCTATAGTTTATCATTTCAAGTGTCTGCCTGCCAAAAAGACATGGCTTCCATCAAGGGCAGACTGCTATGGCCACCTGCTCTAACCCCTTCCCACTTTAAGGATTAATTTATTGACTGCAGGTACTTTTGTTTAACAACTTGCATGCAAATTTTTTGTTAACTGATGGCTTTCTGTTGTTCTTGTCTGGTACTGTAAGTCGCTTTCAGTCTGCAATTAGTGAAGAAAAGTGAGTTGAAAGTACCTAAATAAATTAAAAGAAACCTCCTTGCCATGCCTATTATAGATAAAAGTGACGCAGAGAACAGTGCTGCAAATTAAATGGCAGGTTTTTTAATGCTGCTCTGTGAAAATCAAGGCTGTGTTAATAAGTCACCAAAGCAAGTAGATGGTAATTTGTAATTTGTTCTAATTTGTAATTTTCTTTTTAAAACTGACAATCCTAAATTTTAAGATAACTTATATATATGCTCGGATAGCTGGTGTGTCCTGCTGTAGCAATCAATTGTATAAGCATGACTGCAGAAAAGGTTTTTAAACTCACGTTGGCATCACAAAGATCCAGTGTGAAAGTGGTACTCTTGTAGGATGTTTTGTAAGTGAAAATTTCAGAAAGCTGTAATACTGAATATAAAAAGTCCAACTTGCTAGAAATGTATAACAGGCCTAGAATACGATGTTGATAATTTTATAACAGCAAAATCATAAAAACACTTTCCTTTGAATAGACCTTAGGATTCTGAGCAGACCTGCTTAGGATAGTACTGTAAATCAGTGGAACTACCTAATCTTGAAATGTTCACCAATCACAATAACATTTCTGTGATTATTTACTAATACCATTTTCCTCTTTAAAATCAATTTTGTTGCTTTTAAACAGCAGAAACAAAATAAGCATTTAAAATGTATTAAGTACTTCAGAGCACTTATCACTTAGTTTCTGTCATAACATTTATGGCATAGTAGTGAGCTGCAGACTGGAAAATTTGTAGCTTGGCAGTTCGAGACCCTGGTGCTGCATGATGGAGTGAGCTCCCATCTCTGGCCCCAGTTCCTGCCAACCTAGCAGTTTGAAAGCAAGACATTGCAAGTAGATAAATAGGTACTACTTTGGTGGGAAAGTAACAGCGTTCCGTGCACCTCGGCGTTTAGTCATGCTGGCCACATGACCACGGAAACGTCTTCGGACAGCGCTGCCTCTTCGGCTTGAAAATGGAGATGAGCACTGCCCCCTAGAGTCGGATTCAATTACCTTTCAAGCAAGGGAAGCCTTTAACTTTAATAGTAACCGTTTAAGACCTATTTGCTTGCTTGGCCATAACAGACCTTATATCTAAAAAGTAACTTGTAAACCAGAATGGAACCTTGGGGGTTTTGTAGGCCAAACTGTTTCTCTACCTTTATTGATCTGAACTGGAATCGAACTGAAACATCCAAAATATTTAAGGGTGTGATCAATGTTTTTCCTCTCTGGGACAGCTTTGACTGAAGAGATTTTCAGCAAATCCTTAGCATGGTTTTCTGTACATGGAGGACTACTGAGAAGTCTGTTTCAAGAATTATCTACCTGTTTCATAGACAGCTTCCGATACAGAGGTATAGTGATCTTCTACTGTATACTGTGCCAATCGAATTGTGTCCAAACCTTTAACAGAATCATTTCCTCTTGTCCAGTAGAACATCACATCGTTAGTGTTATAACCCCCTGCATTTGGAAGGGAACACAAAAGAGAAGAATTGGAAAATAAAGGAAAAGAATTTAATGTGCACACATAGCATATTTATTTTGTATACCTTAACAAAGTTCCCATCAACTTTATTTGGTTTACCAGTAACCAAGAGAATCCAGTCTTTAGCCAAGGATCAGGCAACAGGAATACGTTGAACAGTAAATGTGAGATCTTCAGTATTTCATGGTATGCATAGCTGCATAACATTTCTTTCCTCGTTTTTTTAATGCAAAACAGTATTTACAAATTTAATCCCCCCCAAGGGAAGCAATTTCCATTAACAGGTGGATGAACGAGCTTATGTGGCTATTTGCATGAATGGAACATAGGTCAATTTAAACCCAAATGTTTCAGTCCAGTAATCACCTGAGATTTCCATGTTGCCAGGCACCTTTCCTTTGTACCTAGACCCAGCTCCAGCTGAGAGCTCTTCCCGCCCCCACCCACCCCAAACACACACACACACACACAGCCATGAAGATGTTAAAGCAGTCAGGCACCTTTTTTGCATAATGTTTTGCATCAATTTGGTTGGTGCTAATAAAAGATATTACAAAAAGAATTACATGCATTTTGTTCTTTTTTTTTTTTATGGTGCCTGAACACGGACTAAGAACCTTCTCTCCAATAATGATTTGATTTGAAATCTGTATTTTAAACCGCTGTAAGCCACTGTGGGAGCCAACTCTTGGCTTAAAAATGGGGTAAAATAAGGAAATAGAATGACAAAAGGTCGTTAAGGGCCAGGGGCACACAGAGCAGCTGTTTACTATGTATAAAATCTCACTGGTTTGGGGAAAATGTCATTTCCAGAGATCCACTATCCACATACATAAGCCAAAACAGGATGCTGGTGTGCAGCCTACACAGAAGAGGCAAGACATGTGTGCACTTAAATACTTTCCCTGTAGTCCTGAATGTGTGCATTCCTATCCAACTTGCATATATTGCAAGAAGATTGGAGCTGATGGGGGGTGCACAGCAGAACTCTCTCGGTCCTGTACAAAGGAGATACACTGAACACCACACTTCTGGCATCCTTCTTATCCAGACCAGATGTGCAATGGGAGTTCCATGTTAGGAGCTCTCTGAAGTGTTTTAGAACTTAATTTTCAGGCATGGAAGGGTCTGATTTGGATAAGGACAATGAATGCAGGGGGACCTGTGGGAATTCACAGCAGAAGGATCACTCTCACACATACCCTGTATCCTTCCTCAGCACATTATCTCGGCTTCCCCCCCCCCCGCAGTAACCACAGCCCTTCCCTTTCCCTGCTTCCTTCTCTCCCTCTCATCCATCAACGTACCTTTATCTATATCCACTCTCAGCTTTCTCTCCTTCCCTCACCCTAACAGTCCCTGAACCTTTCTTCACCTTTACTTCCCATCCCTCTTTCTCCCCCTTTTCATTGCTTCCTTTCCTCCTTATTTTTTTTACTCTTTTCAATTTTTCTCTGTTCTTCTAGCCCAGTGGTGGAGAACCTATGTCACGGGTGCCAGAGGTGGCACTCAGAGCCCTCTCTGTGGCCACGCGTGCCATCACCCCAGCCAGGCCCAGACCATCATTAAAGTTTTGAATTCTCTGCCAACTTATTTTAAGTAAATGAAAGCATTTGGGGTTGCTTTTCTTACTTTGTTTGGATCATCTTAAGTTAATGTATGAGTTGTTTTCTCTAAACTAAAACCTCAGTATTCAGGTTAAATTGCCATGTTGGCACTTTGCGATAAATAAGTGGGTTTTGGTTCGCAGTTTGGGCACTCAGTCTCTAAAAGGTTTGCTATCACTGTTCTAGCCCCTCTTGACACTAATCAAGGCATGGAAGCTGGCTCTCTAGCAACTCCTCAAATGACTGAGGTCTTGAGAGACAGTGGCTGATTCTGCATTGGCTTTGCCCTCCATTGTTTTATGAAACCCATGTTGGAACAGAAATTCCCCTCTGCATCACATGCTGCTGTCACTTCCTTTGATCTTCGGATTTTATTGAACCCTCCACACTGCATGCCACTTTGAGTTTCTTTGATTATTGGGTTTTGTGGTACCTTCTGCATAGATTTATGGCCATTTTATGGCCATTCAGGGGTGACTTTGCAGTCAGGATGGCATTGCCCCGAGGTATCTGGATGTGGTTTTGAGCTGCACTTTTTCCTCCCAGTTGAGACAATGTGGAGTGAATGCTAGGTGCAGAATCACCCAGTCTCTCATTAGATCTCAGTCAGCATTTTTTTCTTAAAGTTGCTTCCCTGGGACTTCCCCCCACATTTGCCCCTAGCCCCACTGTGTGGATTTTTTTATCTGTACTCTGGAATCAGGTTCAGAATGAGATATATAGATGACATGTTGGAGACACTGCAAGAAATGTGGGTGCGGAAAATAGAAACTATTGGAAAATCCATCTTCCCTGCACCAGTTTCTCCCCTTAAGCATCCCTTCAAGCTCTGCCCTGAATTGATGCTCACCTGCTCCCAACATTTCATTCTTTCCTAGAACACATTTAGTCTTCATCAGGTTTATTTGTGAGGATGGTGGGGAGGGTAAATTTACAAAGCCATAGTCTTCTTTATACCTAGGGACCCCCCTACCTCTTCTGTGTATGGCCCTGTTGTACAGTTTATGCCATCCACACAGTGGCTATTTGTTTTACTGTTATCAGGATAATTTTACTAAATGTAGCTAGTTCAGCACAGCATAAAACCAAAGAATTTTAAGCCTGTTTTGTCACAGTGAAATGAAGACGAGGGAGCGTCCACTGCTCCTATTGCAGACAGCGTATTCTAAGAGTTTTTACTGCAACAGATTACACTAGAGTACTTCCCACTACAAGATATTCATTTTTGTGTCTGGCTGTGTGATTATGTTGCTGCTTGCAGTGTGAGGACACTTAAACTGATATTGAAAACGGGTGAAAGTGTCACATTATACAAATGATAAGCATTTCAGATTTTGAAAATAGTCAAAGTCAATCAATCTTTAAAGCCTTAGAAAGCTACGGAATACTACACCATCTGCTTTCAATAAACCACTTTTGCTTTCAAAAAGAATAAGGAGAAACTGAATAACAAGCACCTGTTATTAAAATCCAGAATTTGAATACCTTTGCAGCTACTAAGCAAATTTAGATTCACATGCAATCGGAAATCCTTCCTCTCTAGAACTCTTCTTGGAAAAGGGCTAAGGAAAATGTCATCCTGTAAGAAGATGCCTTCAGTCACAGAACTGGCTCGTTAGATCAGATCAATATGTTTGAAATCCATCCCACAGCCCCACAAACAATGGGCATGGATCCAGACAGCTTGTTTACTCAATCTCACCTGCTCCCCCCCCATACGGCAGGTTTTGGTCCCACATGGCTATTGTATGTGAAGGTCCCAGGACTCTCTCAGGATAGCCTTTTTTGGTGATCAAGGAGAAACAGTACTTTCATTTTCACCAGGAGACAAACTGACTGGATCCTTCTGACCCAATGCTTCATGGCCCTCATTGACCCCTTAGTGCCACAAAAGATCATAATGTTCTAAAAACAAAGCCTTCAGAATAAGACTGTATAGCATTTGAACAAATAAAACAATCAAAGTTTTAAAATCATAAAAGTTATGCTACCAGTTTTGTAGCTCTAGGAAACAACCTTGGATCTAACTTTTCTGGCTGCAAGCACAAAAAGCGCTACCTTGTGAGTGACCAGGGGATACATATCCGACAAGAGGAAAACCAACTTTTCATTGTCGGGTAAGTTGCAAAGTTGGCTTAAAATTCCAGATAGAAATGTGCTTCTTACGTCTGAATATAAAGGACAAACCATAATATAGTAGAATAGATCTTCCACTGCGGTACCACAAACGCATACACATTGTTCCTGTGGTTTGTTGGTATACCTTCCAAGCAGCACTCCAGTGGGCATGGATTGAAAGCGAAGGGCGGTAAATGCCGCTCTTAAACTGTGGACTGCAATGTCTGACAAACAGGAGGTTTTTAAGTGATCTTTTTTAATCCTATGATACCATGGTACAGATTTTGACTGGAGTATTAACCTTTTGTCTAAAAGAGCAACCTCATTAAACACCCATTGGCGCAGGTCCCGGGTATTTACAAAAGATCTGGATAAGTCGTCAGGCACAGAGTACCGTGAGGTGATGTTATTATAAAATTCGATGCGAGTTTTATCACTACTTAGTAAATCTAAGTAGCTGATTTTGCTAAATGCTTCGCTTGGAAGCTGTTGAAACTTCAGCATCGATTTCGAGATCTCTAAGTGTGCTCAAGCCCTTAGTGATGGAATACCTGTTTCTTCCCTCATTAATGCTGCAGGTGAACCCTTGGGCAGTGCCAACAACCACCTCAGGAAAAGATTTTGCCCTGTCTCCAGGCTGGTCAAGATCATAATGCTGCCATGACAGCAGAGACCACAAACCAGTTGAATCCCCTTCCAATGCTTATCTGAAAGCTACAGCAGCCCTCACATGAACTTGGGTTTACACCTATTAACCCTCAGCACTCATAGTTTCCTGTCCCACCCCCCTTAACTCCTTCTTGCCTCAGTTCTTGTTCTCTTCCATTGACTCCTCCAAGCCTGTAAATAAAGATGTTTAAAGCAAAATAATCTGCAGCACTTAACCAGCTGTTTGCACAAGCAAAAATCCAAACACACATAAAAACTGCTTAATGTACCATTCTGTCTTATCCACATACCTTTGCTCTTTCTCTGCCTAGTCTGCAGCCTTTTTGGAAGCTATTAGCTTTTAGGCTTTCTGCCTATTAGCATCGCTTTCTCCCAGGTCCTCTCCCAAATCTCAGACTGCCCCCAACAAAGCTAACTCTCTCCCCAAGGCTTTGTGTGATGTTTCAATCCTTGCTGAGCAACAACTTTCCTTTCCTTCATAGAAGCTGACCAAAAACATTCTGACAGCTGACCAAAAACATTGCTGAGCAACAACTTTCCTTTCCTTCATGGAAGCTGACCAAAAACATTCTGACAGCTCT